TGCTACTGCTTGGGGGCGGCGGCTACGGGTTGTGGGGAGGAGAGGGGGGGGGGTGTTCGGTATTTAAAGGGGGGGAGGGGTGGCTTGGGGGAGGGGGCAAGCAAGAGGAGGAGGAGGAATCCTCCTCGGATTCGGCCGGCTCGGCTGGGCCCTTGGCCCAGTCGGGGTAGAATTACCATTCTTGTGGCCATTCCCATTACCATTCTTGTTCTGCTGTTGAATCAACTGAGTGATCTCTGGCGGGAAAACAAACTCGGGGTCGCATCTCGGAGGCATCTGAAGGGTTTAGAAAAGATGAGAAATTAAGAATAGAGTGAGGTCTAAGGAGAAAACACTACCCAAATGCTCATGAGACAAAAGCACACAAAATCACTTCATTCATTTCAACAAAGGGCTTACAACGGTCTAACTATCGGAAAAGTGCTTGTACTATAATGTTTACATGGAGGGAAATACTACTAATATGTGGAGGTCATCTATTAATTTGAACCAGTGGAAGACTCCATGATGTCTGCTCCAGCTTCGTCTTCAAAGTCAGGCTCACTTGGATCCGAATCGGTGTCGTCGATGATGATGTAGTTGCTCGGACAGTCGACGTACTTGTCTTCATTCTTGAGCGCTAATTTCTTCTTGAATTCTTCAATCTCATACTTAAGATCGCTATTGTGCTTTACTACAGCTACGATCTTGTCCATGTAGTCCTTGCATGTAGACTTTAGTTCTCCTTCAAGTTCGATGATCCTTCCCTTCGCATTCTTCAACTCTATCATATCATTGCACATCTGGTTCTCCTGGCGTCGAATGTGCTGGTTTAGCTCTTGGATGAAAGCTGCAATGGATCTATCCTTCTTAGTGCTGACTATCTCCCATTGTTCATCTCAGCGTCCGCAAATCTGGTAGATAGTGTCCTTGAGGTCTTCTTGCTAAATTTCTCCAATGCGTCCCATGGTGATATGAGCTGCCATGCTCTTTTCCAGACTCTAGGTTGGTGCACTGAAAACACTATCTATAGGCTTGGTGATTGGGGTGAATGTCCTTCCCGAAACGTGGGCTTGAATCTTCCAGCACTCCTCTTCAGGCAGAGTGGCGTTGAAAGTCCCTGTGAAGCTTGGTAGTCCAATGTTCAGGTACTTGGCGACTTAACTTTTGGCCCTGGCGCTGCAACATGAACAAGTGAATGAGACATCGAACGTAGCAACACATGTTAAGTGCTAGTTTGAAGGAGATGTGAACCTTAATGAATGCTCGAAGTGCACCTTTCCCATCGCTTTTGCCAGCCGGGGTTGTTTCCAGAATAGTGTCGGTCTCATCAGCTGCTTTCTTGATCTGGGCATGCTATGAACAGAAAAGGTATTAACGTGTTAGGCAAGTGAAGATGTGAATATTGCGAATTGAAAAGCAAAAATGGCACATACCACAAAGTTCATCATTGGCCCCGCAGGGATCACGGAGTTGCCTTTCCTGACTAATGCGTTGTAGTGGTGCTGGGCTACCTCATCAAAGATGGTGGGTTCTTCCAAAATCTTATCATCATACACCGGCTTGCATACCTCCACACGGGTGACGCCTAGAAACCATGTGAGATAGGTGTTGAACGCAATCGGGCAGTGCTCACGAAGCTTGGCTCGTTTTCCAGCCCTAGCTTGCTCCAAAGCAAGCGCCCACTGTATGACATACTTGTTGTGATGCTTGGCCCAATCCTTGATCTTCCGCTGCTTTTTCCTATCCAACCTACAAGTTAGAAACATAATATTAGCATCATCGAAACCGCCGAGAAGCTGCTAATTGCTCAAGGTTGATTATATCTTACGCGTGTAGCACTATATCCGTGTCCTCAAACTCCAGCGGGTGTGGCATGAACAAACCAAACTGACGGTACACCCGATGTGGCATGTGAAGCTCAAGCGCCCAGTTGCATATGAGTGGACACCGCATATGCCAGAGATCTCTATCCCTAGTGCACATCAGATTCAGCCTGAACTCTATAGGGTTCCCAAAACTCTCTGCTTTTCCATACAGTTCCCATTCAACCTACAAAATTGGATAGAATGAAAAATTGATATCGAGTTACGATGGAAGCATGATAATAACTTATGCAATGTCAATTCACCTGCTCAGGCGTGATCGCGTCCATCTCGCTCCTGTACAGCTTGTACATGACCGAGGGATCATCCGTCATCTCATTTAACACATCCCACTTGTAAGCCCAAGTGGGGAGCCGTAGTGGGTCATCTTTCTCGTCCCAATCCTCCAACTTCACGGTCTTCGGTCGTCCAACCGGCAAACACTCCCAGCTCCATATGGAAAGTGCGAGCAAACAACCACCAATACCTCCAGATAGCCTACAATAGGCTTCGTCCAACTGCACATAAAAGAGAACATGGTTGAATTAACAGCAAGATCGCATTCATAATGTACCAACGAATTGAAACAGAAACAACTTCATACCTGTCTACACAAGTAAGCCAGTGTCGCCGAACCCCAACTCCATTTGCTATCGAAGACGGTCAACGCCTTGAGCCACATCCATGGATCATTCTTGCCTGTGCCATCAGCAAACATACTCCTGGATATCACATACCACATGTAGACACGAGCATATGTCTTCACCGTGTCCTCATTAGCATCCTCGGGGCAATTACTGAAGTTCGATACAATCCACGTGAAAGTAGCACCGGCTGCGACTCTTTCCTTCTTCTTGCCTTCTACTTCTAGTTCCCGCGGCTCCGGAGGAACCATACCGATAAGGGCAAGCATTTGATCGCGCCACCCATCAGAATCGGTGCTCATACATAGAGGTTTCCCATTGATAGGAAGACCAGTGATCATATCTATATCCTGGAGCGTCAAGGTCATCTCCCCGGTCCGAAGATGGAAAGTGTGTGTCTCCGGCCTCCAACGATCAATAAGCGCGGTGAGTGCTGGAGCATTGTTGGGTGGCATCGACTTGCTGACCAACTGAATGAAAGGGAGAAGTCCTGTCTACCTAACATACAACGTGTACCGCTCATCATAGCGCATCCACCCAAGGTTGACCCCGTGAGCCCGAAGCTTCAGAGGTGCAAGCTCCTACAAGCAAACAAACAAATCATTACATATGGGGGGTATGTGTTTGAAAAAAAACACGAAATTCATAACACCGGCAACTTTCATTATTACTTGCTGCTTCACCGACATAGCGTACGACCGGTGTTGTAGATCCCAATGATCATTGAGAAGCCAAACCATCCTAGCAATTTGCAAGAAAGCTTTCTTGTCAACACGATTATCTTTTGAATAAAAAAAACTAAAGTACGGCTACTACATGCAAATTTCAAAGCATATGTAGCCAAACCATTCTTGCCAATACAAATGTGATTTCAATAAACTAAACTAAGCCTACTTCATGCAAGATTCAATACAAATATCTTTTCCATATAAATAAAATGTCAACCTATGTATCCAAACTATATAAATAACATGTCAACCTATGTATCCAAACCACATTCTAATCTAACAAGGGTTCCCCAAATCTAATACATGCAAGATTCAAACAAAAGTTCCCCAAATCTAATACATGCAATATTCAAACAAGGGTTCCTCAAATCTCCGAAATAGCATACATTCTATGGATAGAAAGAAGGGGATCAGAGAAAAGTACCTTCTAGGATGGATTGGTGAAGGAATCCACGGGCCAAATCGTCAGATCTGAAGGATTTTGGAGAGGGGATTGAGAGGGGGAGAGGAGAGGGCCGTTGCCGCCGCTGTTCTGTAACTGGTAATGGGGTGGGTTGGGGACGGCTAGTGCGCGCGACTGCATCTAAGTCACAGTGCAGCGCCCGAGCACCAGGCGCTGCACATTACATGTGCGGCGCCTAGCACGGAGGCGTTGCACTGCTGGGTGCGGGCCCAGGGGCTGCCACGGTGGATTGGTGTGCAACGCCCCCGTGCTAGGCGCTGCACAGGAGGGTGTGGTGTCGTCATGGCGGGCGCTACACAAAAAGGTTAGGGTTGTGAAATAGTTTCACGGTCAGTTCATTCCGTGAATTGATTTCGTCCATAGGTCAAAATGGTCAAATTTGCAACCACCCATCCTCGTCCGCTCTTATATAGCCTTTGTATCCAACTTCTTGTGCCTGGCCGGCCGAGGTGGGACTAAACAACAATCGGCAATACCTCGTGGTTCTGTGGGTACATACATACAAGCAGACTACAGCCATACATCGGCCTCATCAACTTGAAAAAGAAGTCCAGAACGGCTTCTCTGCTTGGGCCTTGCATGCAGTACTTTTTTTTCTATAAAAATCACCCCGTGGACTGATCCAACCAGCTGCATGCGGCTCCTTGTCTCAATAAATAAAAGCTGCATGCGCTCCTGTTGCATGCACGATCTGGCGTGCGATATTTTATTCTGGCGCGGGAGAGCAAGCTAGTTTGACTCTTTGTTTAGCACATATGCTCGGCTTTTTATTCGGATACCCTGGGTACTACCGAACCGAGAAAACTTAGTTCAGTTAGCAGGTGTGAAAACCGATTTTTTCTGTCCTAGCCCAAAAAACCGAAATTTCGGTTTGTTTGGTTTCGGTATCGGTTCGGTCTTCGGTCCATCGTTTTTATTCATCACCAACCCTTCTTCATCATCAATATCATGATGCTCACCATCGGGAATGAGTAATTCCTTTATAGGCTTGCTGGACGGTGATGGGTTGGATGAGATTTATCATGTAATTGAGTTAGTTTTGTTAGGGCTTGATCCATAATATCCATTATGTTCTGAGATTGATGTTTCTATGACTTTGCTACTCACGGCCCGTCTGGCCTTCTTGAATTCGGCACATTAGCATCATAATTCCAACTTCTTGTCACTTCCGGTCCATGTATGAAACATCTTGTCACCAACAAGATCTGAATCTCAGGCAAATATGATGGCTGGGACATTTAAAAAATTCTGATCTTGATTCTCTGTAACCCCGGTAAGTCAAGATATCGTCCACTTCCCATGAGGATATTGTATGACTTATTCTACAAGTTGTTCCTTATGGATCTTTTGTGTTTCCGAAGTCCGACCTTTACTTGATGTTATAGATACCAAACAATATCTATAATTGGGTTACGCTAGTACATCAAGGAGAACATTAGAAGCGGAGTGCTAAATGTCTCTCGGTGGATCATCCAGAATTCTTTCCCTTGGCATATCTAAGGTGGAATACGAGAAGGTGGTGTCCTCCTTTGCATCCGAATTCTCCATCTCTATTCATTGTGGTAGTATGAGGCGTTACCAGGATCTTGGCGTAGATGTTGGTAAAACCTTGATGAATATGGAGATGCTCAAGATCTTGAAAGCACGCTCAGAGACTAGGTTATATCCCCGGTATCAATCGGAATGTGCCTTCCGTTTGCCGAGTTGTTCTATAACCATAGTTTTCTTTCCAACCTGAGTATACCATTCTTTCAAATTCTATCAACGATCATTTGGTATTTGCTTGAGCCTGGTATGAAGAGTTTTGATGATCTATGTATCAAAAGTAATTCTTTTTGCCACTTAAGGAAATAATTCTACGAGTCACCTCCCTAAGGTGACCCATTTGGTATGAATAGAAATTAACTCATCGCTACTTTAAAACCGATGGACCATCTTATTTAAGCGTGGAATTGCTGCCTACCAAATTGAACCTTCGCCATCTGTTTCTTCCATCCCTCTCGAGGTGTGTTTTGTGTCTCAGCTCAAGAGATGTTTCAGCGTCTCACTCCACGACTTGATCATGTGTTGCTTGATCTTCGTGAAGACCAATTTTCATAGAGTTTTTCCCCTTTCTTTTGTCGTCGTGTTTGGATGAAGTTCTTGAAGGCAAGGTTCTCAACATCAAAATACTGCAATGGGTGGGGAGCAGTGACGGGTGGGGAGGATCACCACGAAGGGGGAGGGGAGGCGGCGGGGTGCTGAGAGGAGAAGCAGGTGAAGGGGACAGAGACGTGGAGGGGTAGAGGGGTGGCGGCTATGTTTTCACCACGGAGTTGCTGCCTTTTATAGGACGGCTAGGGAATCTCGATACTACCCCTGCTAGGCCACATAATTACCCACCATTACCATATGTAAATATCCAACAGCTCACCTGGATCACTGAAATATCCGACGGTCAAGGTCGCTTGGGACCGAGAACGGAGGGACAAGGGCGGCTGGGAAAACTGATCGGACGGCCCATATGCTCCGGTGAATGTAAGAGCTCCATTTCAGACAATTCTCTAACTATTGGTACCCTAGATGTTGGGGATGAGAAAACAATTAGGTGTAGACATTCAAAGGCATATCTACATGTGACCTTCAAAGGCTATCACAATATGTTAGTGAAGTAGCAAACTCGTATAAAATATGCATATGAAAAAATATCCTAATTCATAATGAAATAAACATACCCAACAATCAAGTAGCTTTAACCATTTTTTATCACACAATGGCCATGCAGGTAGGCTACATAAACATTGTTGAAGATTAACCAAAGGTGTTGCCTACAAAATGGTGGTTCGATAATGCTAAGATGCTCCCAAAGTCCATCAGATGCCAAACTGATGAGCTGGCTAGTTAGCTTATTTGGCATATAGTAATTACTGGCTCAAAACAAAGAAGCGATCTCTAGAAAGTCTTCGGAAGCCAAAACATGCTATGCAAAAGTTCTATATATCATATAAATATGCAGGTTTAATCCAGCAAGCGAGTAACTTAAAAGTATACGATCAAATGATAGAGTAGAGTAGAGCTAGTAGGGACCTAAAAATTCAGAAACTCCCTATCCACTACACTCACGACTAGCTCATCTTATCTATCAATGCTACCAATTGAAATTCACATGTCCAAACAACATCGCATGATGTATGGTTGTTCAGGGCGGCCTGAGTTGACCGATCTAGTAATCCTCTTTTTCCAAAGCTAGGAATATGTATGTAGTTCAGTTAGTACCTTCGTTTTTCTGACACAGTTCTCGTGGTCACGGAAGTAGGCGTCGAGGTCGTCGCAGGGCTCCTCCCAGCCATAGCCACTCCACCCACGTCCGTGAACTCGATATATCGGATACGGACTGCTGCAAGAGTCATCCCAGCAGAAGTCAAGTCCGAAATCCAAAATTTTGTGATAAATAAGGAACTAGAACGAAAACTAATTGGTCCATTGGAGGTGTCACATACCGAAGAGTAATTTCCCAAAACAGTTTTGGAAACAGATTTCCGAGCAAGGAGATCAAAATTTGCAGGCAAAGTAGCAAGAACATGGGTTTGAGCAAGCTAGTGACTTTTTCTGGAGGAAGAAGAAGGGATGGGTGACTGGGGTAAGTGAGTGGGTCCCCGTGAGACCTCTTAGGCGAAGCCATGTCGACCGGAGCATCATCGGGTGGGTTGTAGAGGATGATGTGGCTGATGTTGGTGTCAAAGGCGGGGAAGGAGTTCTTGGGCATCTGAAGATGGCACCGAGGGTACTACTCCACTGTGATGAAAGATTTAGTCGTTTGAGTAGCTCGGATGAGGTGTATGATGATGAGGCTGAAGCAGGACAAGACAACGTATGTGATAACTTCCTAACGGCAAAATAACCCCACAAGAAGACATGCCCATAATTTAAATAATAGAAAGTTCAACAACAGGAGATGTGATGAATTGTTTGTCATACACCTCCTTGTTCTTGGCAGTGCCGGCATTGCGTAGCTGGTCAACGAGCTCAGTTGGGATGTTGTGGCCAGTGACATGCATGATAGCTGAAATCTAGATATATAAAAGAAACTTGAATTTTTTTTGGGTTCATGCTGGAGTTCGCAGTGCTTGTAGTGCCGATGAACCACTACTAGCCACCAAAGCAGACAATGGAAGGGGTCTCCCGTATGGATTACTCACTAAGAACCACGTCGATGCCAAGTTTTCATGACCAGAATGCAGCTCTTGTTGCGTAAACTAAACCGAGCCATGCTCATATTCGGCTT